GGTTAGATGTGCAATATATGGATGTTTCTACCATACAGAATCTCCATTTAGGGAAATAGGGTGCATTGGTGCAACTTGGTGGTGTGGTGTGTGTTTATGGGTGAATGGAGGTGTGTACAGTAGACAAGAACAGTGTATTTAGGAAAAAATAAATTAAAAAATAGGCTTAATATCCTAAAAGTTTTCATAATATGGTGCTTTGGGAAATCATGATGAATGGTGCTCTTTATGTACTTGTTGAGTTTGTGGAGGTTTATTGTGTATCACACTGTGTCCTTGAAAGTTATTTTCAGTTTCTTTAATTTTTAAGAATGCTTTAAGGAGTGTTTTTGTGCATGTATCGCCAGATATGCTTCTGTTCACCCACACTGTGTCATTCTCAGGATTCTGGAGTGAGATTGAGATGAATGATTTATAGAGAACAGTGAAGGTGTTTCTTACTGCGCATTAGTCTGATTGGTTAAACTGAAGAAGTCTTGTGGGGAGTCTGGTCCTGAGCTTAGGATATATCTTCGTGAATGAGAGGAGCTTGAGCATTCATCTGTGACCGGTGTGCTTATAAAAGCAGGTCAGGGCAGCCATGCATGCAGTAACTATAGCTTAAAGCACATCTCTGAATAAATTAAGCTTTCCATTGATGTATGGTTTGTTAGGATAGAACAATATTTGGCCGAGATGCAACTATTTGAAATCTGGAATCTGAGGGTGCAAAAAAAGCAAAATATTGACAAAATCCAAGTTGTCCAAATTAAGTTCTTAGCAATGCATATTGCTAATCAAAAATTAAGTTTTTATATATTTACAGTAGGAAATATACAAAATATCTTTATGGAACATGATCTTTACTTAATGTCCTAATGATTTTTGGCATAAAATAAAAATCAATAATTTTGACCCATACAATATATTTTTGGCCATTGCTACAAATATACCCCAGCGACTTAAGACTGGTTTTGTGGTCCAGGGTCACATATTAGTTTTTCATCTGTATCATTGCATAGAAGAGACTGAGAGTGTTTGGTTCTGACTCTTGGGATCCTTTTAATCAGCCGTATCCTGTGGCGTTATGGGACAGGCTGAGGTGTAGATGGTCCAGGTTGATCTCCTTCCCCAGAATTCTAGTAAACACACTAACCTACATGTAGAGCCTCATCAATGATGTATGAACCTGTTCTCTTGTTTTCTATTCCATTTAGGGCTGTCAGTCTGGTAATATATTATGATTAACGAATTGATATGATATATATATATATATATATATATATATATATATATAT